AAAATTTTAACATCTAGATAACAGTCTTTTCTAACAGAAGTTGTTAACTATGGATTTCAAAAATTGAAAACAGACAAATTGGGATATGTTCGATCTTGTCAAGAATTTACGTGTTACATCAGATCTTACAAACATTCTTAAAAGTTCATACATTTGTCTTATGAAAATATAAAAGTATTTTCGTCTTGGATGTTCCTATCGATGGACTGGTAAGAAACTTTTCATTGACTATATGAGACTGCATTGTTTACACTGATTGCGATATGAATTTGATATAAAAATGACCGTGGTCTTAAGCTACAGTACTCTAAATTAGTTGAAGATATTGGCGAGAGTCAAAAGTTAAAAATCAAATAAATGTAGATGTTCTTATCTTTTGATAAACCTATAGCAATATGTAACTGAACGAAGCATACCGTAGGCTACTTTGGCACACCAGGAATCATCACTGAGAAAATCAGCATATTTTGATTCTTCACAAGTAAAAAGCAATAGTAACTCTTCTCTAAGTTCATAAAATCTTTGTAGGACACGTCCACGAGATAGCCATCTTACTTCTGTGAGAAAAAAAAGCTGGGTGTGCTCACTATCCATAGCAGAACACAATTGATTAAATAATCTTGATTTCAAAGGTTTACTCAGTACGTGTTCTACCTCCGTCCAGAGCACACGTGTGTTACGTATTTATTAGCTATCGATAGCAGTATTTATTTATTATACATCAACACTCTTCGGGCAGGTATGTAACTCCTTATCTTTATCGGCCCTCACTAGTTAGTTAATTAAGCCGCTGCCGGCACACCGCAGCGCAATCAACCGATAATATGGCTTCGGCTACTTTATCATCTATGGACACCTACAAACAAACTCAATCCACATCTCAATTAAAAACCAACAACCTACCAAAATCATTCGCAGAAACCACAGCCAACACTATCTTTCCAAAAAAAGAACAAGCGATTGTTCTAAACACAATTAATGACATAGCCCAAATCGAATATATTAAAGCTCTCGGAAAAATCACTTCTACCAAAAACATTTCATTTGCATCTCGCATATCTAACAACCGTTTTTGTGTGTATTTCACGGACAAACACATTGTCGATGAACTAGTTAAAAATTATTCATTTATATCAATAAACGAACACCAAATATCTTTTTGCCGGCTGGTCAACCCAGCAAAAAGATTTATCATCTCTAATGCACATCCGATAATTCCTCACGAAATAATAAACGAACAACTATTATTAGAAGGTATCAAAACCATATCCCAGATAACATTTCTTAAAGCAGGTTTTCACGACGAGCTGGCACATATTAGTAGCTTTCGTCGTCAGGTATATATACACCCCGATGATACTGCTATTGTACCCGGTTCTATGGTTATCAAATACGACAACACAGACTTTAGAATCTTTTTAACAGATGATACACTTACATGTTATGCATGTCACCAAACCGGACATACATCATCTTTCTGCAAAAAAAATAAAAACAATAACCACGATAGCTCTAGTTGTACACTAAACCCAACACGTGGGGGGAATAGTGTATTACCTAATATCTTAAGCTGTACTCAAACGATAATCCCAACCTGCGAGAAAGTAAATGACAACCAGGTCAACAGGTCAACAGTACCAACCTCAACAGCACTCAAGAGACAAATCTAATCTGTGAGATAGTTAATGACACCCAGGACTCCAATACCGACCTTACAAAACCAATCAATCCTAACAATGTAACAAGTACTCCAAATGAACCAATCAAAAGACCTCTTCCATCGTCAACTAACTCTTCAGCACCATCAGTCACGCCTCTCCATATCGATCAACAAATTAATGAGAACTCTGATTAGCCGAAAACCATAAGAGAAAAACTATTAGATTCCAACAAAACAAAAAGCAAATCACTCGACCCATCCAAAAAAATTAAAAAATGCAACTCACTCGAAAATCTTCACACAAAACTCAATGAAGGGCTCAAACCCGTCGAAGATATTTTTTCAAATAATACAGAAATTCCTATATCGTATTCACAATTCATATACATAATGGAGAACTTCACCAATAAATCCATAAACATACATTCTCTGTGCGAGGAAGTCAATGTTGACATCCACATACTCCAAAAAATAACTGAACAAGTCAAACCAATGATAACTGATAGATACATAAAAACAAAGCTCTCCAAACTGCTAAACCTTTTATTCCAAACTCTTCCACTCTTATAGTCAACCACAAAGCAGCTCCTCTTCAGTATACTCACTAAAAATATTATAATGAACAATCAAGATATAAATATAATTCAATGGAACCTTAATGGGTTCTTTAAAAAACGCAATGAACTAGAACTTATTATCAGAGAATTTATTCCTAACATTTTTTGCTTACAAGAAACAAATTTCACAGAAAAGCATACGCCTCACATTCAAGGTTACAAGTGTTACAATAAAAATCGCACCGACTACATCCGAGCATCTGGCGGAGTTGCCATATTCATTGAAACACCCATCCCCAGTAAAGAAATTCCCCTTTCAACTAATTTGGAAGCAGTTGCCGTAACATTTTTAACCCACAACACTACAATCACACTATGCAATATCTATATTCCAAATCAGACAAATTTACTCCTCGAAGACATCGAAAATATAATCAAACAATTGCCATCACCTTTTATTATAACCGGTGACTTCAACTGTCATAGTGAGCTTTGGGGCTCAGACAAAACAGATGAAAGAGGGAAAATCATCGAAAAAGTATTAGACAACGACAATATAATTATTCTCAACAATGGGGACCCTACAAGATACAACTCAGGTAATGGCAACTTCTCGGCTATTGATTTAACCTTTTCAAACTCTTCGATCTCTCATCAACTTGATTGGCAAGTCATCCCACAAATATACAGCAGCGACCACATTCCCATACTAATAACCATCAATAAAAAAAATTATAAAAATAAAAACAGCTCACCAAAAAGGTGGAACCTAAAAAACCCTAACTGGACCCTTTTTTCATCAATTATTGAGGAGGACGTAAAGCAACTAAACCCAAACAATACCGACATATTATCAATGGTCTCACTGTTAACAGAAACCATAATCTCTGCCTCAAAAAAATCAATTGGGGAATGCACTCTGAGTCTTCTTAATCATCGCGTCCCATGGTGGAATAAAGAAATTGGAGATATAATAACATTAAAAAAAAAAGCACTTAAAAAATTTCAAATTACAAAAGACCCTATCGATTTCATCAATCTTAAAAAACTCAGAGCTCAAACTAGACTCTTAGTCAACAACTCAAAAAAGCTATCATGGAAATCGTTTATTTCCGAAATGAACATTCAGACTGATTCAAAAAAAAACCTGGAACAAAATACGTACTTTAAAGGGTATAAACCGAGACAAAAAACTCAATCTAGTGGAGAATGACACATTGATAACAGACCCCCAAACTGTCGCTGATAAATTAGCCAGGTTTTTTCACGACAACAGCAGTGACCTAAATTACGATAATGAATTTCTCAACAAAGAAAAAACAAGAAAATCTAGGGTATTTGACACTTCTCAACAATATCAGAATCTCGACAGCTACCAAATCCTCATCAATTCAGAAATCTCTATCACAGAACTCGAAATTGCGCTATCCAAGTGTAACAGTAAAAGTCCAGGACCGGATGGTATACCTTTCTCTTTTCTACACAACTTACCTAAAATCGGAAAAACATATCTACTACAAATTTTCAACTTAATATGGAACACCGGTAACATCCCACCCTGCTGGAAACACAGTTGTATTATTCCCATTCCCAAAGAAGGAAAAAACAAGTTTAACACATCCGGATATCGCCCTATATCCCTACTAAACACAATGTGTAAGCTTTTGGAAAAAAGTTATCAACCTAAGATTTATGTGGTTCATAGAACGAATCAACTATCTAAGCCCAGATCAAAACGGGTTCAGATACCAGCGTGGTACTAACTTTTCATTAATAAAAATCCAATCTGAAATCGAAAACGCAATAAAAAATAAACAATTCCTCGGAATGGTGAGTTTCGACATAGAAAAAGCTTACGATACTGCCTGGAGACCTCATATATCAAAACTACAAAAGATCCTTTGCCAAGGAAACATGATTAAGTTTATCACAAATTTCCTCTCCAACAGAACCTTTCAAGTCAAAGTTAACAATGATCTGTCTGAGTTGTTTGATCAACAAAACGGAGTTCCTCAGGGGTCAACTTTGTCGGTTACGCTTTTTTCTCATCTCTATTAACGACATTACAGAATCAATAACTAATCCCGTTAAGTATACACTGTATGCTGACGACTTTAATATTTTTTGTCGTAGTAATGAACTTTTTACCGTGCAGTCACTATTGCAAAAATCATTAAACGACCTTCACAAATGGTCCCAAAAATCTGGTTTCAAATTTTCTGCTGGCAAATCCCAATGCATAACATTTACACGAAAAAAAAAAAGAAAAGAAATTAAATCTCACCATGAACAGTAATCAAATTCCTAACCAAAACACTGCTAAAGTCCTTGGAATAATTTTTGACTCAAAAAACTCGTGGATCCCACACATTAAAAATATTAAAAAAAAATTGCGCATCAAGTATTAACATAATGAAAATGCTAGCTCATACCAGTTGGGGAGCCTCCTTTTCCACGTTAACAACTATACATAAATCACTAATTTTATCCAAACTTGAATACAATTCGTTCCTGTTTATAAACGGTAACAAAAATGCGTTAAAAATATTAGACACAATCCATAATGCAGCAGCAAGACTGGCAACTGGGGCCTTTCGGTCCAGTCCCATTACAAGCCTACTTAACATATCCAATGTGATGCACCTGCATATTAAACGCCAGGAAAACGTCATGATGCTTGCCATAAAACTTGCTAAAAACAATATGGTATCAACTGTACATTCATGCCCTTCCATACAAGCAATTGTTAACGAAAATAATCTGAACCTCGAAGACATACCCAGCTAGGTAGCTTCCTGTGCCTTATCTGATACAGTTGAATGTTTTATAAACTTTGAAACCTGTCTGTTTTGATCTGAGGCTAACCTTTTGAAAAAATCTAGAGGCTTTTCAGACGCAAAACCATGTTTTGTAAGCAGGTGCCTTTTCAGCTTACTTGGTACCATACTTTCATTAGATAATTTTTCACTACACATGAGGCATTGAGGTATAGGCATTTCTCCACCACTCGACGTGAAACCAAATGATAAATAACTTTCGTGATATTGTCGGATAATATTTTTTGATCGTACGTTAGCATTTTTACTCGCACTCACCTCAACATTAGGAGGATTGAAACTCGGACCAGGCAATTCCTCAACATCAACTCTATGAGCATTAGAAGGATCAGGCAATTCTTCGCTTAATTTACGTTTCTTAATTAAAAAACGATCCATTGTGCGCTACACGTAGTACGAATAATAATCATAAAGCGAAAAGTAAAAATTTCCGTTAAAATAAAACACAGTAATAATAAATGTACTTCGTACGACTACAAACGACTAATTAACATTTTAAATGAATTAATAAGAAATAGTGAACAATATCCCCGATAAGAGAATCGTTAAAACTATTTTAACCGATTACTGAAATTTTACGGAAACGTTTATTAATAGTCATGAAATTTCGCGGCACACCCAGATGGGCCTCGCGGCACACCAATGTGCCGCGGCACACCGGTTGGGAAACCCTGAACTACATTGTTATTGATACATATAACAATAATAATAATAATATATTTAATGTAAATGTATATAAATGATGTTAAATGTAATTATAAAAATATAGGTATTTGCGCTTGATTCAAGTAAAAAGATGATATTTATTATGAGCGTGAATTTATGTAAAAATAATATATAATAAAATAAATATGACGATAACTGTTTATTTTATAATTGGCTGAAAATAAAATAGCACGCAACTAAGGAGATTGTTGACCGGTCGGTTTTAATGTGAAATAAACATACATTGTTTATATTGTTCTTAAAAATATAGTTATTGTTAATAATTTCTCCAAAAATCAGAATAATGAATAATAAACGTAAGAGAACGGATGATGAAAATAATAAATATTGCATTAATAAAAAGTTAAAAAGTCACAATGTTGAAGGTAATTGTACAAGTCAATTTGTTTTTTTATTGTTAAGTATTAATTGTTTTAATTTATGCTACATGAAATTGGCACTATACAAAAATCGACCTTCTTGCTTGTCTCTTCAAAGATTTCCAAAATAACGAAGAAGACGAAGTAAGTACCTGCAATTTCTACTACCGCACAATTAAAATTGTTTTTAATAATAATAAAAAAAAATAATCATAGTTTACAGAAAAATTTTTTAAATCATCCAAAATAATTTAATACATAGGTATAATACATACTAGCTCGATATATATTTATTAAATACATTTGATTTTGTCTTGAAATTTCTATAACATTTTCTTTTTCTTTTAATATAATTTTTGTTGTTTACATTTCAATATTTCATTATTATGATAAGACGTTATTTGATGACGAACACAGATCCCTAAAAAACTCAGAGATATACGACAGACTACATTGTTATCATAAATCAGTTACAGATATTAATGTATTTATGTTTGTACCTATAACGGCCATAACTTGCAATAAGTTAAAATAGTATTTATATAATAATAATTATACATTATAATGTTGATGTTGAGTATTCGATTTTTGAGAATGGATACAAATTTGAAAATGATATATCAACTGATAGTATTTAATTAATATTTAGAATCCAATTTATAATAGCATTAAAGATGTATAACATAACTATATATACTTAAGCAATTTATTTATTATTAATTATTAATTAATATCTTATATTGTTTCGAATTTTACAAATTGTATTACATTTTATATCTAATCTTATTTACGATAGTCATGTACATTATATATATTAATGGGTGAAACACGATTGCGGACGATCAATATTATATGACTAAAGATATTATTTTGTACTCATAGAAATGACACGATTCCGGACGATATCTGTAAAACGTTGCCAAGTTGTGTGATGTAGTTTACGAAGCTTAACGATTATCAATTTGATAATAGGCTTATCATTAGGATAATGTCTTATGAGCATCATTTATACCATTTAGCAGTTCTCGATTTTTTGTATAGAGTTCTTAGTAGGTACATACTAGTATATGTTCACCGGAAAATTCACAGTTGAATTTTTTGTCCGATGTTGTTGTTTGTTAAAATACTTGCACTGCAATATTTTTCTGTAGATAACCATTTTATTATCTCATATTTTCGATTTCGGCTAAATCAGTATTTGTTTTGTGTAGAATTACTTCTTTGCCACGTTCTGATGGTATATAATTTGACAGTTTTCTATAGTTTCAAAAAAAAAATAAAAATAAAAATACTATACTATACCGGTTAACACTATACCTATTGCAGTATTTAACAGAAATGACTTGTATTAGTTGTATTATGCTACATTTGACACGCTCAAAATTCCTATATCATCGAAGTATTTCGTATTATAAAGGTCACCCTGATAAGAATCATCCACAATCGTGTATTATTGATATTAATATATGACCTTTTTTTTTTTCATTTTGGCTCTTCCATATTCATTAATATATTGAGTGGCTCTCGAGTGTCTTTTCGATAAACACTCCTGCTATATATTATATTACAATAAATTAATAAATAATACAGTAGTGACAAACATACCTAGGTAAGTTTATTTAAAAAAACTAACTATTTATGCTATCAAATAAGGTGCAACGGATGCAGTCTACTCTGTATTAATCATTGTTTATACTACAGGTATTTTACTATACAACCATTATATTTGCATATTAAGTGAAATTAAATTATTAATTTTATATATATTTTTAATAAAAGAGATTTAGTTTTTTTTATTATTGTACTAATACCAATCAAATATATAATTTGTCTAGTAAACATACTTTTTTGACTAAGAAATCTTAACGATATGCATCGTTTTAGTCAGCATACAATTAAATCAATCATTATAAGAATTTATTATCAATAATTATTTTAATTTATATTATAAAGGCTAACAATTGTATACAAGTCGTCGTTAACAATCAGTAAGATCTACTGCGAATAGTTTATTATTATTCAATTAAATAATATAGAGTAAACGTATTAATGTATTATAAAGCTTATGATTAAAAAAATTAAAATTTAAATAAGGTTACTATTTTAATGTAATTATATAAATTGTTAAATTTTAGGGATAACCTTTAGACTTCAAACTCTTTAGAGTTATCTAATTCATTAATGAAAATAATATTAATTAATAGTGGGAGTGATTTAAATTTAAAATTTTTTTATTTCGACGTCACAAAATCGACTAAAAAGTCTTACGACACCGTACATTCAGTACATATAATTCAAATTAAATCTTTATATTATTATATTATTTAAAAATTAGACAATTTAGATCTTCTATATAATTTTTTCCCTAGTAAAATAGTATTTGTCAATAAAACATTGTATCTTCTCCGTTCGTGATTCATATAATATGTCATGTATAACAGCTGTATAATAATATATATTTATACTCAATCATTAAAATTTGATAATATTATTTAGATCAATGATTTGACTAAGAAGATATCAAAACTAAAGATTTGTAATGATAATTAGGAAGAACATGACGTATGTATTATTCATATCACGTAATGTAGATTGTTAAATTATTAAAAACATTATTTTCCAGTACTGCTTCTATTCCTGATAATTTTCAAATTTTTAAGTTTTAAAACTATCTCAAAATTTTTAAATTCATGTCATTTAAATTGCATAGCTTTAGTATTATTACGTTATTAAACACATTAAATTAATGACATCTTATAATTATTATTTATACTATTCATTTGATTACAATGTTTTCTAATATGAAATTATCCGATATAGAACCATTGTGTGAATATAATATGCAGTTCAAGTTAAATTTAGTTAAAAATAAAATATTTGTAATGCATCACATATTATATTATGTAATATATAATTAGCTATGCAATTTTATAAAAAAATTGTCATATATACTTGTCTTCTCATAAAACTCAAGCTTTACATATTAATTAAAACTGCTATTAATATACATTCATATTTGTATTATTAGTCTTTTAAGAACCTCATTAATCAAAAATTATATTAATAATATACATCAGAGAACACCAATTCATATTTTTAAAGGGCTATAAAAGGTGAATCTGAAAATTTTTCGCGAGACATAAAAATTCTTTTTACATATTTTAATATAATATAATAGGTATTATGTTAAAATTGAATTTTATGAGAACATTTTGTACATATATATGTGTAATTTATTCTTTGTTTGCGGGTCGCCATTTGATGACCCTTGATGTATACATTGTACATTTATACACATTGAATTATTGTTATTTGATATTTTTTATTAAATAGCTTAAACGAAAAATTGTAATAAAGGTACACGAAATAATAATTTTTGTAATTAAATTTTATGTTATTACTCAGTCCAATTTAGAAATGAATAAAAGCGTATCCATTATGGACAGGGAGTTTACCTCTTTATCCGAGACATCCAGCGAAAGCGACGATGAAGAACATGACGTATGTATTATTCATATCGCGTAATGTAGATTGTTAAATTATCAATAATTGATTACCCAGGACCAGTGTTGGGAAATACCTAGATAAAATTGATTTATCTTTTATCTTATTTAGATAACTCTCAAATCATTTATATTTATCTTCATCTAAATAAAATTCTAGTTATCTATGAGTACCTATTTAGATAATTTATTTTTATGGGATAAAATAAAAAATTAAAATTAATAATATTACTTTTTTAACTAAAATTTTTTTTTCTATTGACTCAGATATTGACTTGTTATCTTCTAATAAAGTTTATTCAAAAATTAACTTTTTTGTTTTTTCAAATTTAAGTTTTTTTGTATTTTTAAATCAGAAAATGACTTTTCTTATGTTTTAATGAATAAACTATTTTATTTTTATGTTTATATCTTAAAATATTTTAAATGATATATTTTTTTACCTAATACCTGTACCTATATTAAAGTACAGACACCGGAGCGACCGGTCTTCACTATCACCACCACCAACACGGGTAAAGTCACACGATATTGCCAACTCTCCTACCAACGCCGTAAAGGCCTAGGCGGGACGGGAAGACAACTCGTGATAAACGAGTACCGGTCCCCGAAAACATATTACTTTTATCTGAAATACACGAAGGCGTCACATCACCGTCGCCCGTAACCATTTTCTTTGTGTTCATGGATTTTTTTGTTTTCCATTTTGTTCGTTGTGTTTTGGTTTTTCAAAATGTAACAATCGCATTTCGTTTGTGAAATCGTTAATAGTAAAAAAATCAATAAAATC